GAGACGGGGTGCAAAGAGCCTCCTGCCTTCATCGCTGAAAAATGAAAAAAACGGAAGATGCAGAGGTGCGGGCTGCTTCCCCGGAAGTCGAAGGATGGCGTGCCATTCTTAGATTTTTGAAGAAGCAGTCCGAGGTTGTTGAGCACTTCGTCGAAGCACTGAAGACAGTGCGAGATGGGATGTTCAAGAACAAAACGAAGGAAGTGAACAACGGTACCAAAGAAACTTACCTGTATAGTAGGAGTCTTCGAGGCATAATAAAAGATGCAAATGAGAAGGGAGTGAGATTCTTATGAAATTTAGAGGAAGCTGACTCTCTCTCTCTCTCAAAAGAGAAATCGGATATCCTTTTGGTTCTAAAAAGAGGCAGGATCTCTCTGGTTTCAGAGGTTCCCTGGCCACAGCTCTCGAAGAAAAGGCGAAGGTGAAGAAGCAGGGCTTGCCCAGTTTACTGAAAGCTGCTTCAGGAACTAAAGTCCCTAGCTAAGATTTCTCCAAGTTAACCTCAGGAAAGGAAGAGTCGCGCAAGATCTCTTGATGCAGACTGCCAGAGAGAGAGGAGCTGATGTGCTGCTTTTCAGTGAGCATTACAAGATGCTGGGATTCTCTGTCTGGTTTGATGATGCATCAAGAAGATCAGATATATAGGTGTGAAACCCGGAAATCACCATCGGTGTCTTCCTGGAGACAGATAAGAGGTTTGTTTGGGTAGAGGTGGCAGGTGTACGTATCTACAGTTGCTACTTCTCCACAAACGATCCCATTAGAAAGTTCGATGCCGAGATTCAAGCTCTTGAGGAAAGCTTTAGAGCTTTCGTCGGTGATTGACTTTAACAGTAAGTCGCTGGAATGGGGAGAAAGCAACGAACCGGATGGTCGCAGCGAACGATCTAGTGGTGATGAACCGGGTTCGTCAGGTCACGTTCAGGCGCGGGGTAGTAGGGTCGATCATCGATTTGACAATCGCGTCGCTTCTCGAGGCACGCAGAATAAAAGAGTGGAGCGTTTTGGACGAAACGATCATGAGCGACCACCAGGAACAATAGACTGCAAGATAACAGCAAGAAGCCCTCCTGGAATCTCAGAAGACTAAATAGGGAGAAATTAGAGGAGTCTCTAACCGAGTCTCGGTTAATCAGGAACTCGGCCTAGAATTGTACCCTGAAGGAAGATTTGGTCGCAGCCACACTCAACGATTCTGGGAGGACCAGGAAGACTTATCGATTAATCAGCGGACAAATTGGATGATATACTATTGTGAATCTTCAGCATGGTGATATCATTGTAATTCGACGGCCATAAATGTAAGTTGTTCGATCGTATGCGTCTGAATGATCTCGGAGAATGAATGTATATTGTTGAAATTATAATAGAAGGTTCCACTTAATAAAATTGACAATTTGATTAATTTTAATTGATTGATTTAATTATTTTTGTTTAATAAAAATTCTAATTGGAAAAAATGTATTCCACGCCACCACAAACTGTGGTGCACTCTCCTCATTACCTTAGAAGAAAAAGTGCGTGAGGCGAGGCGACTTATTACCGCGGCGTGCAGGAACTCAATGCAAGCAGGAAAGAAAAACTAAGAAAGCTCTGTACTGGTAAAACGACGAACTAGCCCGTCTAAGAAGAGAATGCCATACAGCGAGGAGGAAGTATACCCACTCTAAGGGAGCCCTCCTGCTGCTAGAAGAGTGGCATAAAGCCAGGCAGATCTTCAAACAGGCGGATCTTCCTGATCGGAGAAGCAAAAAATGACCAATAGGGGTTGGGTTTTAGAGTCGTTTCTAAAAAATTAGTTTCGCGGCAAAGAAACCACCGGTCTCGACAATCCGATTTGGGTCTGAAAAATCATACGGGCTTTGTTCCCCCATGTGGAATCTAGCCCCGAGAGGACTATACTCACTGTGTAGTATAAAGGGAAGAACTCTTCACACTAGAAGAGCTTAAAAAGGTGGCAAAGACGTTTAAAATGGTAAAGCTCCAGGCAATGATGGAATACCCGACGAGATCCTCAAAGAGGTTATCACTGTGTATCCGGAGCTACAACTCGACGTCTTTAATACATGTCTGGAGTGTGGAAATTTTTTCAGTAACTGGAAAACACAGAAGTTGGTCCTCCTTAGGAAGGAGGATAAAACTCTAGATAAAGTCTCATCGTTTAGACCAATTTGTTTATTAGATACGATGGGTAAACTTCCAGAGGAAATGATTCTGGAGAGACTACAGAGAATTCTGGTAAGCGAAAGTAGCCTATCCGAAAACCAGTTTGGCTTTAGGAATGGCCGGTCAACGGTAGACGCGATTTTATCACTTGTTGAAAAGAGAAGTAACGTCAAATTAAGGAAGAAGAAGGAATTTTGCGCACTCGTAGCCATAGACATTCGAAACGCGTTCAACTCCGCGAGATGGGATATTAGTATTGAGGCGATAAAACGTAAAGGTGTGCCAACCTATCTGTTGCGAATGATAGATGACTATCTCGGCGACAGATGGGTTGTGTACGAGAGCGATGCATGTCATATCAAAGAAGAGATGACATGCGGAGCTCCCCAAGGTTCGAAGGTAGGTCCAAGCGTATGGAACGTTATGTATGACGGTTTCCTCAGGTTGGAGAAATCCTGCTGCTCGGCTGGGTGCACGGGGGAGACCTTAACTGGCACTCCTCTTTCTTCCACTGGTACTCACTTAAAGATTTAGGTCAGAGAGAGAAAAGGTAAGGAAACTTCCACTGGCGATGTATAAAGCTTGAAGCAGTTCCGCGAGTGGAGTTAAAGTCTCAAAAAAGTGTGTGGTTTTTAGTGGGTCGGCCAGAACAAAAGTGGTCATCCCCACATAACCTGAGAGTACGGGCTGCAGGTATCTGACTTGGGAGTAGCCTGCAGGATTATGCAGATTTTCCACTTCCCTCGTAAAAAAATAAAATAAATAAAAGCTGAGACTCTAACTCAGAAATAAAGCAATTTTTTTATTTTCAGATGAATTGCAGTAATATCATTTGATATTTAATTAAATAATTTCTAATTTTTGTAAACTGCCGCCTGCATAAAGTATCCAACTGAAAATTCCTGAATAAAATACTATATTGTTTCCAATATATAAATCCATGTGAAATCTAAGGTTGAAATTTCAGAATCTACATGAAATCGTGTTCCATTTCCCATATGGTTTCCCATGTGGGGATTTTCAATAGGGCGTAAGAGGATTTGACACTGTATTTGACATGGGAAATTTTTTCAAAAAAATGATAAAGGATATCACTTGGTATTTAACATGGTATTTGATATGAGAGAACGTTTTGAATTTTTTTCCTATGTCAAATCCTGTCTCAATATCCCATGGGGATTTATATGGGAAACCATATGGTTTCCTTTATGGAAATAACGTTTTACATAGTTTTTGACATAGGATCCCATGTGGTTTTCCATGTGGGAATTTTCAATAGGGCTTATTACAAATCTGTCATTAGTGTTTTGAAATTCAAAATGGCATATTGGATCCGCCATTTTGAATTTTGCTGGGGTACCTAGACACCTCGGTTACTCCTTCTAGGGTTAATAATCTATTATCAGATTCGTAAGGGAACTTACTTAAATTACGTAATCCGACTATTAAATCTGTCACTTATTAAAAATAATATTTATTTGAGTGTCAGTAAAGTTTACAACACAGAAAAACATAGATCAGAAAATTCATAATCCCTTTTTTTGTGTTATCTTATTCGTTTTGTTTTCAAGTTTGTCACGTTTTCAAAATCTGTAGTCATAAAAATTATTACTAAATATGAAAATTGTAAAGTTTATGAATTTACGTTTAGAGTACAATTATTATAATGAAAGCAAATTGCTTTGGAAAAAGGTATCTATAAAACTTTATGGTAAATGTCTAAATTCCAAATTGACCATTTGTTAATCCTTAACAATGAGTTACCTGAACCTTTAAGGGGAGGTTACGGAAATTTTGTTTTAAATAATCGATTTTTTTTCATTTTTGATTAGTATAACTATTTAAGAACAGGGTTAAATTAGTCTAAAGTATTTCCAAGGTTTCTTTTTTATTACATGGTTTTTACCAGACTGATTCGAGTGTTTATAATATAAGAAGCCATTAATATGAGATTTTAATTAAATTATTTCTGCCATAATTGTGTACAAGAATATACCCAAGTAGCACGTAATATTATTACAGCAATATTACCCGGTAACATTATTGTAATATTACAGTGATATTAAAATGTCCGCCTCATGGTAATATTACCGGATAATGTTTTTGTAATATTACACGGTAATATTAAGGCATTATTACTGTAATATTACAGTAACATTACAGTATTATTATACCGTAATATTAAGGTAACAATACACAAGAATATTGCAGTAATATTAGAAGAATATTATTTCACGAAAAAAATGTACCCAACCGTGGAATCGAACCCCGAACTAAAGGCACACAAGTCCAGAGTTTTACCAACAAGCCACACATTTTAATATCACTGTAATATTCCAGTAATATTACCGGATAATGTTACTGTAATATTACAGTAATATTACGTGCTTGTTGGGTAGAACTTTGCACCGAATAATTTTTACAGCTGTCTGACAGCTGCAATTTTATTTTTTAAAGGAATGCAACATGAAGTTGCTCTTGTCAGTGGAATGTGTTTTGTTTGAAATTTTCAGACAACAAATAAACATTGTTAAAAATTGATTTTGGAAAAATAATTTTTTGGAAATTTTGGTTTTGGAAAAATTTCTTTTTGTAAGTTTTAAATTTTTGAAAAAATGGTCATTAATAAAATTCTTTTTGGAAAAAACAGATTAGGAAAAATTATTTGGAAAAAGTGACCCTCTACCCTAAAAGTCTTCCTTATCATGATTGGATCACAAGATCCAACTTTTTTCTTTTAGTTACAAAAAAATTACAGAAAATTCTTACAGTTGTTTAGATCTTACATCTTCTTTTAGAATAGATCTTGCTTTATACCTAGAAAATCTTACCAGTATCAACAATCACATCGATGAGATCCATGCTCTTGGCGAATGCATCCCTCAGATTGATATGATGAAAGGACACGATGCTGCCCTCTCTTTTCGCCCTCTCGAGTGCTTCTCGACGTTTGAGTGCTTTTTCTCGCCTCATCTGGTTTTTGTAGAATTCAGCAAAATTATTGACGATAATAGGAATGGGTAACGCAATTACCAGGACACCACAAATGCAACACACACTGCCAATAACTTTGCCAAGGGGAGTTGTTGGGTAAATGTCACCATACCCAACGGTCGTCATGGTGATACCTGCCCACCAGAACGTCTCCGGAATGCTTATGAATTTAGTGCCTTGCTCATCTTTCTCAGCAAAATACGCTAAGCTAGAGAAGATAAGCACCCCCATCGCCAGGAACAACATGAGCAGGCCTAACTCCTTGTACGAATTACGGAGCGTAAAACCTAAACTCTGAAGTCCTGTCGAATGACGAGCCAGCTTCAGGATTCGCAGGATCCTCATGATCCGGAAGATCTGCACGACCCGGCGCACATCTTGGAACTGGTCGGTAGCGTTCTTGTTGGTCTCCACTAGGAAGAGGGATACGAAGTAAGGCATAATAGCTAGTAGATCTATAACATTCAGTCCACCCTTGAAGAATTTCCATTTATCCGGTGATGCGCTGAATCTCAACACATATTCTAGAGTGAACCATGTGATGCATACAGCTTCCACCATTGCGAGTTGTGGATTATCTTGAAGGTTTCCCTTCTCATCTACTTGCATACTAGGAATGGTGTTGAGAGTTAGTGCGATCGTTGAAAGCACTATAAATAGTATTGATATCACAGCTATCACCTGCAATGTCACGCAAGTTTATAAAGAATATTATTACTACATACATTTTGCGGAGTTCAATGTGCAGATGAAATTATAATTTTTTTAATAATATTAATATTTAATTCTTGCTGTATTTTACGAAGACAATTAGATACATCGTATTTAAACAGATAAAATGTGCTTAAGATTTTTACAATAATTTCTATTCAAAACTATCTTTTTAGATATAAAAGATGTGGAAACAAATGTTCGTTTCCTAGAAATAGAATTTAACAAATATATAAATCACACTATATTTCATACAATTCAGTCATACACTTAATTAAGTATCCTTCCAAACCCCGCTCCCTAATCAGATTTAAATTTTAACAAATTGTTTGACAAAGTTATTTTATCATTTGAATAAAGTACAAAAAATATTAATATTTTTAAAACTTTTTTCATTATATATTAATATTACACTAGTTGTCATGACTATAATATTTTAAAGAAACGTTCTCAAAATTTTAAAGGTACCGTAAAATGAGGTAAAGTCGGCCGGCGCTTTAAACACTTAAATATTGTATTTCATTTATTAATTTACATTAATTCTAACTACATTTTTAATAAAACTCGGATTTCTTCTGGAAAAAAGTAATAGTTAAACTTTAAAACGATTTAAAGCGCCGGCCGACTTTACCCTTAAACGCCGACTTTACCCCATTTTACGGTACTATCTAGTTTAGAAATGACAAAAAACACACTTTTTAAAACTTTATTGTAAAAAGTATTAAAGTTATTAAAAAAAATTTAGTTGGACATTGTCACATATTACGTGGAGAAAAATAAAAAAAAATGGGATATATTTAGTTTATTTTGGTAGCTCTAGGTGCAGTCCAGTCAAGTTAGCATTTTTAGATGTTTTAACTCAGGGCCTCAATTTTTTTTGCTTAAACCCTTCATTTTGGGGTATAAATAAAGTACCTAAATTTGGTACTTCGAACTCCTATCAGAACCTAACGTTTTTTTAAGAAATAGGTGCAAAAAATTATTTTTTTCAAATTGCCGCCTTCCATGACATTTTAGCATAAAAATAGTTCTTATAAAAAAGAAAGTATATAAAATTCTGGGGTAATTTGATAAAAAATGAACTCTGTAGCTCAAAAATTGACCGAGATATAGCTTCCGCAAAAATCCCATTTTTTGAGATTATAGCCAAAATATGGTATTTTTCAGTTTTTCCAATATAGCTTTGAAACAAATGATTTTCTTGAAAAAATGACCAACAGGAAAGTTAAAGCTGACAAAATTTCTGACAATTTTCAAAAAAGAACAAAGCAATAGCTCTAATAGATTCCGAGATACAGTCTCTCAAAGTTGACGCTTTCGAGATTTTACATAAAATCTCATTTTATTACCATTCTATGTAAAATCGCAAAAGGGTCAACTTTGAGAGACTGTATCTCGGAAACTATTAGAGCTATTTCAATTCAATTTTTGAGCTACAGGGTTAATTTTTTTATCAAATTGCTTAGAATTTTATACACTTTCTTTTTTTATAAGAACTATTTTTATGCTAAAATGTCATGAAAGGCGGCAATTTGAAAAAAATGATTTTTTGCACCTTTTTCTTAAAAAAATTTTAGGTTCTGATATGAGTTCGAAGTACTAAATTTAGGTACTTTATTTTTACCCCGAAATTAAGGGTTTAAGCAAAAAAAATTGAGGTCCTGAGTTAAAACATGATATGCCTTGTTTTTCGACTAATTTGACTGTACTAGTGGCTTCTTCATAAAAGTTACCTTTCTTGGTGTAGGTACTTCTTTTCATACTTCCTGTAACACATAAAAAAGCACCTCTTGGGAAAAAAGCCACCTGCAACTGCAAAAATGAACTAAATATACTCCAAAAAAGTTTTTACTGCTCTCCAGGTTATGTGTAACAATGTCCAAAACGAATTTTTGCTATACTGTTATACTTATACTGTTTTACAATAACATTTTTAAAAGAAGTGCGTTTTGGTCATTTTTAAGCCAGGAAGTACTTTTAACAGAAAAAGATTATTATTTTTGATCAATCGTAATACTACTTTTCGGGGTACTGTCTCAGGAATTCAAAAAATTTTGGAATTTTGTTAGTTTTCTTGAAATTTACAAATGTGTATCTGTTCTATTAATTTATATAATAATACTTTTTACATATTTTAATAATGGTAGGTAGAAGATGCTTGTATTACTAAAATATAAACCCTAAGTTTGTTCAAATATAACGAAAAAAGTAAAAGCTATGACGTGTCAAGTAAAAACACACTTCAGATAATATTTCCAAGACGATTTTTGGAAAAAAATAAATGACATTTTCGTTTTCAGCGACGACGCATTTGACTAAAAAGATGTACTTAGCACACTTGGTGCATAATATGCTAATAGCTTAATTTATTCCATTATATTTCGAATGAAGTCTTTATCGAATATGTTAAAAAATTACAAAACTTTTCTGCAATGATTTGGAAAGAATTAGGCAACCTTAACTGAATCATTGGAAAGACCTTAACGGTAACTGTCTTTTTTCTACAGTACGTGAAACGAAATACTCACAAGAAGATGGTTGCAAATCAGTTTAAAGAAAAACATTGAAATGAAAGAAACAGTGTATATTTTTGGTAGGATCTTGTTCAAGATTAAAAAAGATCTCAATAATTATCACTGTAAAGTGTTCTCGATTTACATGATGAAGGAATCTCATAACTGGTTTTCATTAAGTGCGAAGAAGAATTTCAAATATAATTTTCTCTATTAAACGATGATAGATGCACGAAATCTAAAGAAGAATCATAAAATTTAAGAACACGCTGGCTAGTTACAGTCCAGGACACCAAATAATAAGAGTTTTAGAAAAAAATAATTATAATGTCTTATTAAACAGCAGATGCCATTTTACGGGTACAACATCTGTTAACAAATTGTATTGAATTTCAGCTAACTAAAAAAATATTAGCAAAATTTAATAGTTAAACAGTTTACGAAGGCATTTTTAACAACGATATTTATTTATTTATTTATTGTAGTATTTACGGGCTAGAAGCCCTTTTGTACAAAGTACTTAACAAATAATATAAAACTAAATAACATTTTAACAGAGACAGAACAAAGCTAAGAGAAAAAAAAAAATTCAATTGATGTTACTATTATTATTGTTTGTGCCAAGTCTGTTAATTTAGATCCGCATAATTTACTAATTGATGTGGCAGAAATGTCCAAATCGCTATCAATAGTGTTAGATAATTTACAGATCAAAGTAAAAGTTGCGATTTGAATTTGGATGCATAGAAAGTAAACAATAGATAAAAATAAAAAATTAGACCAAATGTTCCATTATCACCACACCTAATTTTATACTAGAAATTATCAGGTGATGTTACATGGTCACTAAAATCCCTCTTCCACAAAATTTGAGAATCCAGTTTAGTTCCTATGAAAACGAAGGAAGAGAGGGAGAAGCAAAGGAAACAGTCTGTTCGGATAAGTCTACTGAGCCTAAGTTTGTTTGCTCGATGAACTGCTGGAACACTGCGAGAACACGATATTATATTTATTTCAAATAAAAATAATCTTTAACAATTACATTTTTTAACTTAAAAGACGTATCTGAACGAAGAAGGCGATGCTTGTCAAAAATAGTTAAAACATCCAGATTTCTTATTTCAAATGACTAAAATTATTTAATTTTCAGACTCGGAGTGATCTATAACTTTCTTGCTATAATTGAAAATAAGTTTTGTTTTGTTTTTTATGAATGCAATTATATACTATATATATGCATAGAAATAATATAGTCGTTTATTTTGGGAACACGACCAATGCAAAGATAGTGAGAGATCTTCCTTGAGGATAACAAGAAATTCAACCTTAATGTCTTGAGTGGAGTTGGTGTTTTATTTAGTGCCTATTTGCTATTTATTTGCTTATTAATTGATGGAAATATTATTTTTGTACTATCTCCGAACATGTTGACGCTAGTTGTAAAGCGTATTACCATGCTGATAGATTTGAAGTAGACTTGTAAATTTCGTCTCAGGAAGACATTTACATCAGTTGACTTATCAGATGTAGGCCTGGTACTTCATTTCAATTATATATAAGTTTTAAGATGAATTAAAATTTATAAACTATCACAGAATTTTCTCCAGAAGTGATGTGTACAAAAGATCGCCGCCCAACCTAAAGGCACGAAAAATGGAATAATTAAAAAAAATTTATGCAAATATTAAAGATACGACTTTTATAATATCATATTGCTTTAGAAATTTGAACTGCCCCGAATTGCTTAATGTCTTCATCATTTTTAAATATTATTTGACGTCTGACTGTGATTTATAAAACTAAATATATCTACTAAATATTAATGATAATGAAAAATTTTCATCTATAATAGTTGCATCAAAACATATTTTTTAATTTACCTCTTTTACATGCACTCTAGGAGGCGTAACCCCTTAAAATATTTAATGGCAGCCTTTCAAAATTCTCCAAAATGATGAGCTCTCTGTGTTTTAAATTTCAAAATGATATTCTCATTCTTCAAGTACCTTTGAAATTTGTTTTATGGATTGAAGTAAATTATAGAATTCATTAATCTCATATTTTATATAATCTTATATTTCATAATGTCTTCCATTGTCGGAATAAATAACTATTTGCATCTTCATTTCTAGCAAAAAGTCGTTTTAAACAGTCAATGAACGAATGTGTCTTGAATTTCTTCGTGATGTATTATTAAAAGTTCATTTCTAATAGCGATTTTAGTTATATGCATGGTGTGCGGGTAATAGAATATGACGTTTTTGATTATTATTTAACAATTCCAATTGAGAAAGTATACAACCACATCAGATCGTATTTTCCATTTCATTCCCAGTAGAAAATCCTCGTACAAGATCCTATAGATTTCCTTGCGCAAAATTATCTACGCTAATGTGCAGGGATGCCTTCCGTAGATAAACTTGTCGCACTTAAATCTTTCCATGTATGAGTGAGGGA